AACCAGCAGAAAAGTACCTAGAGTTAGTTGTAAAGGCACAGAGGCCTCTAAGCCAGACTCTACCCCCACCCCGTGCTCCTCAAGGACAGGGTCCCCGCTGAGGCTGGACAGCCCAGTCACCTGCCCAAGGCACAGCCTGAACCAGAACTCAGGCCTTGGGACTCCCGGTCACTGAATCTTCTAGTCCTCCCTCTTCCGGGAAATACACACTGACCACTGCCAACATATTCACCCAGAGCTAATGCCTCCTTCCTCTGTAATATTTCTATTATTATGCTGGCCACGGTGTCAATGCTTTCCTGCCTGCCTCTCCTCCCAGACCGCAGCTCAGGAGGCCAAGGAACTGTGTTCTCTAGCATCATTCTTGGTCCGGGCCAGTTACTAAAGAATGGCTAAATGGGTGAATGAATGAATGAATGAATGAAGGATAAAGGATGGAGAGACGGTGTGCTGGGCTCTAGGACCCTACACCCATCCCACCTGACTCCTCATGAGGTCTTAGACCATCAACCTGTGCCTCAGTGTCCTCATGTGAAAATCTGCAATCGCCTCCACTTTCAGGAGAGGGAGTCAGGAACCCAGGTGATCTCTTCCCTCCAGCTCCTGCAGGTGAGGTCCAGGCCAAGCCAGGCAGCAACCCAAGGCCCAGCCACTTCCCCAAGTTCTGACCCAATGGGGCAATCCTCAGGAGTCCCCTCTGTCCAGAAAGGCCACTTGAAGTTTGCAAAGGAAACTGCTTCCTAGTGGGTGTGCCCACAGAATGGAGTACAAAAACACAGCGTTGAGTTGGTGCGGAGGGGAGTCACAAACATTTCTTGGGCCCCTGCTCTGTATCCTGGAAGGCAGAGAGACATTAGACCAGACCCCAAAGCACCTCTAAGACTGGGAAGACAGGAAGGCAGAGGCCCACCATTCATGCCCCAGCATCTCTCCAGTCCTTCAGCACAAGCCATCTGTCCTTGCCTCCCCTCACAAGCCAGAGAAAGACTTGACCTTCATGAAGGCAATGCCAGTGTGACTGAGCCACGGGCATTGCCCAGCCCTCTGAACAAACTCCCACTCCCCCATCCGCTCTGCAGGAAATATCACCAGCAACAGACCACCTCCTCCTCCTCCTCCTCCTCCTGCCCACAGTCTGTCTGTCTGCTGATCTGTCTGCTCAAAGAGGTTAAAGAAACTCCTAATGGAAAAGATGAGTGAGGCCCATGGGAACCTTTCAGCTCCACCAAATCCCTCCTCCACAATTTAGGCCCAAATTCCCTTTCCCTCACAAGCTCTCTCTCTCCTCACCCTCATACCTCATCCTCCAAAGGCTTCCTGGGATAGAGCCGGGGAAGAAGCATCAGGGGAGCGTGCTCAGCCCCACCCTTCCAGTCAAGTCCTAATCAAGAGTGTCGGACACCCCCCAACCATATCTCCTCCTTCCCAAAAAAGGCAGTCCCCAGTTGCATCAGCTGAGCCCCAGCCCAGTCTTGGTTCACTCCAGCCCAGACCAAGGGGAAAAAGCAATCAACAAAAGAAGCAGAATCATCGTGAACCCCAAACACCCTGGCTACGCTCCTTCAGCCTGGGAACTAACTTTGCTGGATATCCAGTCCGTACCTCATCAGATCTGGCTCTTGGGCCCATATGGATGCAGAGGACATGCGCAAGGGCCTCAGACCCTGAACCGGTCCCCCCGGCGAACCCTCAGTGCGGACGAGCCCCAAGATCTTAGCTAGGGATCCTGCCCCCAAGTCAGGGCACGGTTCCCGCCGGATCAAGAGGAGGGAGGGGTCCGAAGGAAGTGGAGGGGGCCAGGAGCCCAGGAGAAGAGAACAGGGGAAACCTTTAAAAACGGGGGGGAAAAAAAAAAAAAAAAAGCTGCCAAGGAGAGGTTTCAAGGTGGAACCTCTACGAAGTGGGGAGCATGTGCATGTAGGAGTTAGGATCTGGGGGAACCCAGGGGATGACAAGGGGACCTGGGGGAGCCCAGGCGGAAACTCCCGGTATGTAGAGCGCAGGGAGGCACTGGGGTGCCTGGGAGGGGGCTCGCGCGCCGCGGCGCCGGGGGAGGGTGGGGCCCCGGAGACCCGGAGTACCGGGGAGCCAAGAGGTAGGCCGAACTGAGCTGCGGCGGGAGGCCCCCAGGGAGCCAGCCGCGGCGGGCAGAGCCCGAGCTGCCCGAAGCGCCCAGAGCCCGGCAGCTGGCCGGGGGCGTGCAGGAGTGGGTTTCGAGAAGTGACAGCTCGTGCCCCTTTCCCCGCCCCACCCACTCACCTGGTCCCGCCCGGTCCCGCCGCCCAGTACGCAGCCCCGCGCCCCCGCCGCTCTGTCCCGTCGCCGGCCGCTGCGCCCCTCCGGCGCCTCCTTTTGTTTGTCCCTCACTGCACCACTCAGCCTCCTCCGCCCCGGAAGTGACGTCACCACAGGCGCGAGCGCGGCGCCTAGGGCGTCGCCATCTTTTTGGTGGGAACTCTCTTCGCGCCCCCTCACCCTGAGCTCCCAAGTGGCGCCATGTTTGTTTGGGGCGGAAGTAGCGGAGACCGGGCTCGGCCCCCTTAAAGGCACATGGACACCTGTAACCTTCGGGGCGCGCTAGGGGACGAAGCGGTGAAGCCGCCGAGGCGGGGGTGAGTAGCTGATGCCTGCGCTTTGCTGCCCCGAGGCCGGGTGCCGAGGCCGGAGGACCTGATAACCGGTTCCGAGCTCGTTTGTGCCAGAATACTCGCTGCGTTTGATGCTGCTGGTACGGCGGAGTGGCGGCGCCGAAATCTTAACCCAGCCAGGAACCGCCCCTGGGGATAAATTGCGCGCGCTTGACGCTGACCTGCACTCGGACGCTGGGACCCGCCAGGCTGTCCTCTTTGCACCCACCTCCCGCATCCCCCGCGGTGATGTCTGTGGGGAGGAAGAAGCCCAAGGTAGCTTGGCCATTTATGGGCAGAGCCCGGGCTGGCACCGGGACACCGCTCGGTGGGGCCGGAGTCCTCGCGGTTCCCACACTGACAATAGTAACGCCCGCCACGTTAGGAAATAATCCATACCATGGAATGCTGTGCAGCCATTAAAACGAAAAATGTTCTATATGCACTAACACGGAACGACTTCCAAGATACCTTAGATGAAAAAAAAAAAAAAGGAAGGGGCAAAAAGACCTGCGTTGATCGGCGCTACAGTTTGTGGGAAAAAACGTGTGTGTGAGAGTGTGCGTGTCTGGGGGGTGCGCACCAGCCGTCTGGTAAGAAAGGGTTAACTGTGCTATCCTCGGACAGGGGAACTTGGTACCCCGGCAAGGGGGAAGAATTTATTTTTTAAATAAGATGATGAAGATATAAGGGCTCATATCCATCAAGCCTTGAGCCAATGCCTGGGTTCAGCCCTCCTGCTGGAAGGTCTGATTTTCCCCTGTCGTTAGAGGCGGGAATATGGCTGCGAGATTAGGAACTTAATACCTCCCCGCCTGGAAGCGGAGAAACTGGAATTTGAGCCCCTGAGGGTTTTAAGCTAATGGCTAGGATCTCCTTATCCCACTTCCCACTGAGAATCTTTTTTTGTTATCAACCACATGACAGCCAGTGTGGGGTCTGGCAGGCAGCTCTATCCAAGTAACTGTTTATTGGCTGTTTACTGACTGAACAGGTACAACGGACTGGAGACAGTGGCAAGTGTAGAATGAAGAGAGGGACATTAGAGGCCAGAGCACAGACTAGAGTTAAAGGCCTGCCCCCTTTGCACCTGGAGACTGTGAACGTGGCACATCCCTCCCTGAGCCTCCCTGTCCACACCTTTACAACTAACCAGTGCGACCACAATGCCACCGGTGCCCCACCTGCCCTACCTAGGGCTTTACATGCAGATGAGCCCCATTTTACAGATTGGTAAAGGAAACACAGAGAAATTAAGAGAGTTGCCCAAAGGGGGAGCTCCCCCACTAACTGAGAGAGATTGCTGGGCTTCTGGGTCCCCCTCAGCCTCCAGGGATCGTCCACACTAATGCTTTGGGGAGACCTCCAGTCCTAGTTGAGCTGCCAGAGGATCTGGTGGAGAACAGGACAGACACACAGCGCCTGTTTCTGAAGTCTAGTGAGGGTGACAGACAACCCAGCACTTAGCATCTGTGAGGAGCCCTATGGTGGGCAGCAGCTCAGGCCTTGGGAGCACAATGCCAGAAACATCTGACTCAGCCTGGGTGGAGAAAGAGAGGGCTTCTCAAAGTAGGTAACTTTAAAAAAGAAAAAAAGAAAGAATTTATTTAGTTGAGAAAGAGACAGAGAGAGATAACACAAGTTGGGCAGGCGGGGGTGGGGGGATGGGGGGGAGGGGCAGATGCAGAGGGAGAAGCAGACTCCCTGTGAGCAAGGAGCCCTCGATGCGGGACTCCATGCTGGATTCCAGGATCATGACCTGAGCCAAAGGCAGATGCCCAACCGACTGAGCCAACCCAGGTGCCCCTCAAAATAGGTAACTTTTAATCTGTGTCTGAAAAACGCTTAGGGTACCTGGAAGGCAGAATGATGAGGCTGGAGATCCAAGTAGAGGAGTGCTCATACCTGAAGGTAACTGACATGATCAGAGACCATGCAGGTTAGAAAAATTCAGTCAAACATCTGCATGAATCCGTCTTTCCTCCTGGAGAATGCCTTCCCATGCCAACCTCTGTGGATTTCCACCTTCTATCCACACTTAACTCCTGTGCATATGCCAGAGTAGGACTTCCCGATTTTAGAATCCAGGTGGGGGCGACAAAGGAACACAGGAGAGTTGATAACAAGGAAGAGTTTCTCTATGGACACGCCCACCTCCCACCTGGACTCCCCCAACCCTAAATTCCTCCCCACTCCTGATTGGCAGCCAGCTGGCTAAAGCAGGAACTCTGCCCTTGCAAATCCAGGTGTTAGTACTGGAAGTTTCTGTCTTTCCGGCTGTTTACGGTTACTCGGGTTCTCAGGTTGCCAGTGCCCTGGGACATCCAGTTGGACATGGCCCCTCCCCGCCCCAGTTCTGTGGCCAGCAGGTCAAAGTCACTCCAGCTACAGTGGAAGAGAAATCACTGCCAGTCCTGTGCCAACACACGGTGGGGCCACATTCCACTCCCAGACTGCACTGTCAGCTCCTTGAAAAAATACAGGCAAATGCTCATCCTGCTTCCTCATTCCTGGGTCATGGTATAAACTTTGGAATTGCGGCTAAGGTCTTTCGGTGCTTTTCTGGGACTTTGACTTTGGGTAAGTCATTTCCCTACTCTGAGCCTTAGTTTCTGTAAAACTGATGTGACTCTATTTAATGTTCTTGCCAGGCATGAAGTATGTAAATGTAGATCTGTTTTTCCCCCATGTGTAAAACTGCCTTAGCACGAGATCTCAATTTTGGATCTCGATCCTGTGCCAGGAGAATAAAGAGGGGGCTACCTACTGCGTGTCTCACTCAGGGTCTCCACTCACCACCCCCTCCCCCAGCAGCCCGGAAACCTGCAGTCTGGGCTCCAGAAGTCATTTCTCCTGCTTTGCCTTTGACTTTGATTCCAAAGTCAGGGGAAACGAGGTGTAGGTCACTGTGCTTACTAGATCCCTCCAAACAAGTTGTTGCCTCCCTTGGGGCAGAACCATCAGCTCAACAGGTTTTTGTGTTTTTTTTAAAGATTCCATTTATTTATTTGACGGACAGAGATCACAGGTAGGCAGAGAGGCAGGCGGGGGGGGGGGGTGGTGGTGGATGGTGGGGAAGCAGGCTCCCCGCTGAGCAGAGAGCCCCATGATGCAGGGCTCAATCCCAGGACCCTGGGATCATGACCCGAGCTGAAGGCAAAGGCTTAACCCACTGAGCCACCCTGGTGCCCCAACTCAACAGGTTTTCACAAAATCTTTGGCTTGTAGGAACTCTGGTTTTAGACTGAGAAAAGAAAGGGAAAAAGAGAAGAGAAAGAAAAGAAAAATCAGGATTCATTATCTGGCAAGAAACTTTCCTGTATAGGTTTAAATCTTAACAGCTTTTTTTTTTTTTAAAGATTATTTATTTATTTATTTATTTGAGAGAGAACAGGCATAAACAGAGGGGAGGGGTGGAGGGAGAGGGAAAAGCAGACTCCCGGATGAGCAGAGACCGGGGCTGACCCCAGGCTGGGATCGCAGCCGGAGCTGAAGGCAGCCCCTCAGTTGAGCTGCCCAGGCACCCTGTGTTAGCAGCTTCTTCTGGACAGGTTCCCATGGGCCAGGACCTGTGCTGAGTGCTTTCTGTGAATGGCTGCTTTATTGTTATCCCCTTGGACAGACTAGAAAACTGAGCCTAGAGAGCTTGCGGTGTGGCGTGACCAAGACCCCATAGCTGGTTCAGAGTGGAGTGGAGCTTGGGACCATTCGATCCACGCCCAAGCTTTCATTTTCTGGGATTGTTCGTGTAACAAGCTGCCCCTCCCTGGGCCCCATCTCCAGAGCACTGTGGTTTGTGTCTTCTCAGTAACTGGGGCACCTCACATTTTGAGCCCAGGGGATGCTAAACATCCTTCCAGACACTGGAGAGATCTGCACCGTGGAGGACTGACTCACCCCAAATACCAGGTGTGGCCCTTTTGCGAAACACGGAAACCAGATCTCCATATTGCATGGAATTGGCTTTGGGGGCTTGGGGCCAGGCGTCACAGCCGGCCCGAAGAGGCAAGGCTCCAGCCCCCGAGGGCTGCTAGTCTGTTGGCAGGGGAGCTAATGGAAGCGGCAGCATCCACCTGAAAGAGGGGTGTTTGGGGAAAGCCTTTGGACGACTGAAAACAGCAAACCAGGATTCAAATCGCAGCTCAGGCTCTCAGCTCAGTGGGCTTTGTTCTCTGAGCAAAATAGGGATGAGAATGCCTTCCTAGAAGGTTGTTTTGAAGATTAGGGAATTTAGCACAGGCGTCAGATGTATAGTGGGTGCCCTCTGAGTTCAGAGGAAGGCCCAGGTGGACACAGAGGCAGAGAGGAAGCAGAGCTGGGACTGGGCCCTGCTAGGGAGATAGGACTGGGGGTTAGGGGTATGCCAGGCAGGGGCACAGATGTCTATCCAAAAGCAAGCAAGGGGTGTCTGTCTGGCTCAGTTGGTAGAACGTCCAACTCTTGATCTCAGGGTAATGAGTTCAAGCCCTACATTGGGCGTGGAGCCTACTTAAAAAATAAGGAAAGGAGGGGCGCCTGGGTGGCTCAGTGGGTTAAAGCCTCTGCCTTCAGCTCAGGTCATGATCTCGAGGTCCTGGGATGGAGCCCCACATCGGGCTCTCTGCTCAGCAGGGAGCCTGCTTCCCCTTCTCTCTCTGCCTGCCTCTCTGCCTACTTGTGATCTCTCTCTCTGTCAAATAAATAAATAAAATCTTAAAAAAAAATAAGGAAAGGGTTGAGGCGTGCAGCTGCCTTCATCTCAGGTCATGATCTCAGCGTCCTGCAATCAAGTCCCACATCAGGTTGTCCACTGATCAGGGAGCCGGCTTCTCCCTCTCCTTCTGCTACTCCCCCTGCTTGTGCTCTCTCTCTGTCAAATAAATAAATAAAATCTCAAAAAAAAAAAAAATAAGGAAAAGGGACACTTGCATAGCTCAGTCGGTTAACTCCTGATTTCGGCTCAGGTCATGATATCAGGGTTGTGAGATGGAGCCCCTTGCTGCCCGCACTGTGGTATTTGCTCCAATGAATACTGGAGGGAGAACAGTAACAGTGATGATATTTGTGGAACACTGACTCTTCGCGGGGCACCACGCTAAGTGACTTTCACATGGCCTCTCACATGTCACGTCTCACAACAGCTCTATGAGGCAGGTGCTATTATCATTCCAATTCAGATATGGTTCTCAGAAAGCTTTAATAATTTCGGGCACCTGAGTGGCTCAATCGGTTGAGCATCTCACTTCGGTTCTGGTCATGATCCGGGGGTCCTGGGATCGAGCCCCCACAGCAGGCTCCTTGCTCAGCGGGGAGTCTGCTTCCCCCCTCTCTCTGCCCCTCCCCTCACCCCTCTCATGCTCTCTTTTCTTGCTCTCTCAAATAAGTAAAATAAAGTCTTTAAAAAACTTTAATAATTTGCCAAAAGTCACACAACCAATAAATGGCTTCAGTCCAAGGTCTGTCTGATTCCAGAGCCTCACAGCCTGAAAACAAACAAAACAAAACAAAGTGTTGAGGGGCAGCTGGGTGGCTCAGTTGTAAACCGTCCGCCTTAGGCTGAGGTCATGATCCCAGCGTTCTGGGATCGAGCCCTGCATCGGGCTCCCTAATCTGCAGGAAGCCACCTTCTCCCTCTCCCACTCCCCCTGCTTGTGCTCCCTCTCTCCCTATCTCTCTCTCTGTGTCAGATAAATATATACAAATTTTTTGGAAAGTATTGAAGTGTGTAAGACCCTAACCCCATCCCAGAGAAAACCACTATTAATAATTTAGCCCTGTCCCTGGAGACAGCCTTGTACATAACCAAGCGGCCCTTGCTTTGCACAACAGAATGAGTTTCAGGCACAAAGGTTCAGTTAAATAACACTGGTCCCTCAGCCACACCGTTCCAACTTCCGTTGCGATGTCCCATTAACTACAAGTCATGGTCCAGAGTGTGAACTTTGCTCCTTTTTAAGCCCACGGATGGCTGTGGTGATGACAGATGTGCTTTGACTAATCACATCACTTCTTTCAAAGCCTGTCAGGGACTGGCCCCTGGCATGCTCTGCAGTTTGCACACACACACCCACCAAAGCTCCATAGTTGCGTTGCCTCCTGCCTCCCAGTGGTGAACCCACGGGACAGGCTACACAAGTGGATCCTCAGAAGAGGGAATTGGCCAACCAAGATGAAAGTGCTGCAGAGAAATGCAGAGCGATGAGACAGTGGGAAATGCACATTGAAGGGCACCTGGGTGACCCAGTCCTTGCGAGTCTGCCTTCGACTCAGGTCATGATCCCAGGGACGTGGGATCAAGCCCCGCATTGGGCTCCCTGCTCAGTGGGAAGCCTGCTTCTCCCTCTTCCACTCCCCCTGCTTGTGTTCCCCCTCTCGCTGTCTTTCTCTCTGTCAAATAAATAAATAAAATCTTTAAAAAATGTGCATTGAACCTAAGTGGAAAGATGAAAGAAAGAGCTGGCTGTAGGGATGTTGACAGCACAGCCCGTTGCTGTTCTAGAAACTCCAGCAAGTAGAGAAACTTAGTGAAGGCAGGTTGACCATCGTACATGATGCACGTGGTTGTAACCAGAAGGATGAAGATGTCTCAGAGGAAGGGATGCCAGGCAAAGAGATCATATCAAAGGAACGCCCAGATATATTTCAGAACAGTGAAAATATAAGGGAGGAAATGTTTGAGGTTGACGTCAACTCAGAAAGAAGGAAGTAAACTCATCAAGGCTGAGAAAAGATGCTGTTCCCTATCCCAAGTTCGGGGACTAAGAAAGCAAGCAATGTTCGCACTGCTCTGGAAAAATTTTCCCCCAGATTTATTGAGATATAATTGATATATAAAATTGATAGAGATATAGAGATATAATTGATATATAAAATTGACAAATAAAATTGTCATACATGAGGTCCCTGGGTGGCTCAGTCGGTGAAGCGTCCAACTCTTGGTTTCGGCTCAGTTCATGATCTCAGGGTCGTGAGATCGAGCCCGAGTCAGGCTCTGCCCTGGGCCTGGAGGCTGCTTAAGATTCTCTCTCCCTCTGCCTCTCCCACCTCTCCCTCCCTCCCTAAAAAAAAAAATAATAAAATGCATAAGGTGATGATTTGATATATGTAGACATTGTGAAGTGACTCCCACTGTCAAGTTCATTAACACATCCATCACCTTACAGAGCTACCTTCTGTGTGTGTGAGAGAGTGAGAGAGAGCGAACATTTAAGAACTACTCTCCTAGCAAATTTAAATTCTACTATACAGTATTATCAAGTAGAGTCACCATCTCTATCCCAGGTCCTCAGAACGTCTTCATCTTATTTTTTTTTAAGATTTTATTTATTTATTTGACAGACAGAGATCACAAGCAGGCAGAGAGGCAGGCAGAGACAGAGCCTGAGCAGAGAGCCTGATGCAGGGCTCGATCCCAGGACCCTGGGATCATGACCCGAGCTGAAGGCAGCTGCCCAACCAACTGAGCCACCCAGGCATCCCAAGTGTGTACCTTTTTATCAACCTCTCCTTCCCCTTGCCCCGTGGCCCCAGCAGCTACCAGTCTACTATTTCTAGGAGTTCAACATTTTTTTTTTTTTAGATCCCACTTATAAATGACACCA